TGACCCCCCCTTTTTCCCTTATTTTTTTGGGATGGCCCCCCCTCGAAAGCCATTTTTTTTCACATGGCCCCCCCCCAAATCCCACCAGCCCCCCCTACCTTATAAAAAATGAACGGTCCCTTATATAAGCTTAGAAACACGAATGGATGTTTGGAAGAGTGGGACATTCCATTTTGCATCCGCACCCCTCCCCTCCCCTCCCCTCCCCCTTTCCTCCACAGATGCTGACACCCTGGTTGTTGTGTCAGCACCTTTAAAGTTTGCAGCTACTTAATAAAAAAAAGAAATATTGCAGCAGTGAGGCCCTGTGCCAGAGGTTGCCCTCCATTGACGGGGGGGGGGGGATTAGGAAGGGGGGTGCAGATTTAAAAAGGGAATGTTCTAATGAGAAACAATGTGAGGGTTATAAACTGTAGGTGGTTGATTCCACAGCTTTTTTGAGGAGTCCTCCCATACTTGAGTTCTAAAAATGAGTCTTGCATCCTTACAAGAGGTACCTGGCTTTGGGAGGGAAAAAGGAGGCATATGTAGGTCACTGGGACCAGGCACTCTCATGCACTACAGCAGGGCAGTGAAGCCACAAGAGACAAGCTGGAGAGCAAGCAAGCCAGTAAAAGACCTGGCATGCTAGCTCGTCTCTTGTGGCTTTGCCGCTGCTCCTCCTGCAGTGCAGGGCACTGAAGCCACAAGAGACAAGCTGGAGAGCAAGCGAGCCAGTAAAAGAGCCGACATGCTAGCTTGTCTCTTGTGGCTTTGTGGATGCTCCTGCCGCAGTGCATGAGAACCTGCTCACAGGCAAGTGGGACCTTGAGGAAGTGTTCTCATATGGGAGGTGTGTGCTGGCAAAAGATTGGCTGATAGTGTGTGACCTGTTTGATGACTAGTTTATTCCCAAGACTGATTTATTCCTGAGGACTAACTAAAGCACTTGACTAGATGCTTTTTCATTACACAGTCTAATTACAATTTGTCCCAAAAGGCCATTCATTTTTGGCTAATTTATTCCAATAACTAATTATTACAGACTAATTTATTCCTGAGGACTACATTTTAACCAAGCTAAGTAATTTTCCATTTTACAGTTCTTTGCTTTAGTGATCAGGCCTACTGTGCAGAATCAAGGCTAGAGTTGACTTTTTTTGATACAAACCTAGCTACTCTGTAATTTATTCTTTTGTCTGCTAGCCACTAAACTGGTCATGCCAATTCTCACTTTCATGCAGAGGCCTGGTAAATTTCAGAGGCTTGGCTACATTTCAAAGAACTGTAAAATAGTAAATACAATGATACAAGGGACTGCAAATGACAATGCTGCTGGTATACGTACTGTAGGATCTGTAAAAGATCTGATCAGACAAAAATAGAAACATAACAATGAAGCAAGGTTGATACACCTAATTGCAATATAACGTCATAGAAAAAAGCAAAAAGCTAAGTAGGAATTAATTAGCCAAATTTAAATTTCTATTGTTTTCAGATACTGTACATAAGTACAGATGTTTTCAGATACTGTATATAACATCTGAGGTCATTACCACGTACATTTACATGTACAAGACGATGGGTCCACAAGCTGGTTGTTCTACTGGTTGCTGCTACACCATGCTGATGAGACCCAACTAGGTGGAAACAGCTGTCTACAGCTGCAATTCCTGGCTTCCAATTTGGACTCTATCATGTTGTTGTCCCGTTAAGTTTTCTACATAGTTATCAACCTTGCTTCATTGTTATGTAAATTAAATAGTCAATTTTAATTATTTCAATTTAACTCATTTATGCTAGTACCTTAGCAGTAGTCTACTTATCTCATTTCAGCTTGAGCATCAAGTTTCAGATCTAAAGAGACGCCTCGATGAGCTACGCAAAGCCAAGAACACTACAATCATTAAAAAGAACAAAGAATATATAACCACTGGTACACCACATGCTGTTGGTGAGAGTACATCCACTGGATCGCCAGACCTCCCTGAACACCGTAAAGAGAGAACCAGGTCTTTGGATGTAGACCTTCAAAGCAAGATGCAAGAAAGCAACCAGCAAGTAAATACATTGCATGAAAATATTGCAGCCTTAAAGGAACTGCACAAAGTGGAGCTGGAAGAACTTAAAAGGGAAGTTGAGAAACAGGTATTTATTACCCAAGCCTGTAATCAAATGTATGCAAAGGGCTACATGGGAGGTTCAGCTTCTCCTGTGCACTCACTACCTGCTTGTAATGCTAGCTAATAACAGATGCTGCCGTCTTGAACTCTTAAGGACGTTTGCATGAAAAATTTCCAACATTGATTTTTTTCTGAGACTTTTACCACGGACTGTAAGATGACGCGTTAGTTATGTCAGAAATGTGGGGAGTCACAGACTTCGTTTTGGTGAGAACATGCCCGGAAGAACACCCTAAATCTGAAAAAATCGGGCTTCGTTAGCGAATTAAAGGCCACAGTGTCTATAAGCCCCAAAATATTGCAATTCTAAGATCTTTGAAGTGAAATGTTTTATGCCAAATGTTGTTTAAGTGGACCTATTAAGTGAATTTAGTCAACTGGTGAGGTTCGTTACAGAACAAGTTTGGATTTAGCGCCCTTAGTTTCACGCGCCTTGCAGCCGCAAGATGGAAGGATTCAATGTCCTGTGGACAAAAGTCTTGATTTTTTTTTTTAACTTCCCACATTGATTTTTTTGTTCATGTAAATTATGTGGAAATAATTGTAAATATAATCTGTTTGTGTAAAGAATAAGTAGGGGTCACCGAACGTCCAAGATCGTTAAATCCAAGTAAAGCTATAGCAATGGCCATTTGCCCTAAATTCAGTCAAGTACTAGTAAATGTTGTCCAACCAGCTATTTCGTAGAATGAGTTTACCCCAGGGATTACTGTACATTAACTCTGCTTCTTTGAAAACTCACAGGCCAAAGAGTCAGACTCGACTCTTGCAGCTGAACTAGAAAAAGTAAAACAACAAAACAAGGAACTTCAAGAAGAAAACAAATTGCTGCATTCGAAGGGAATAGATCTTCAGTTGCAAATTGATGATTTGTTAGAGGAACTGAGCAGGAAGGAAGCTGAATGGTGTTCAAAAGAAGAAAAGCTTATGTTAGAGGTAAGCTTTAGACCCTTGGGGGACTCCAATATTAAAAGGAAACGGGTGCTCGTTAGGAATTTTGAAAAGAACCCCAAGAGGTGCCAAGATCCTGCTTTGTGGGCGTGTCTTGTAATTTCTTTCACCCCTAAGAGGTACCAATTCTAGAACAACACATACTTTAATATTTTGGGGGGCTCAATGCCCTGAAAGGTACCTTAAAAGCTCCTGCTGTGGACCTTTTGAGGCTGAACAGCCAAAGACGTACCAAAACCGCTTTTTTAACCCCCAAAAGGTATGACGAGCACCCCTGTGCTTTTTATATGGGAGTCACCCCCCAGGACTATAGACTTCTACAATGGAGCATTTCTTTTCAGTTTCGGTTTCAGTTGATTGCAGCTGACAGTTAAGTTGTGCCAATCATCTATTTTCAACATAGTTGGATTCATTGGCTTGAGGAAACAATCTTTCGGTTCTATATTTTTCAACCGTTCAGAATGTTATCTGCTAATTAAATGTTTTTGTTTCGCTAAAGTTTTGTGGCAGTTTGTTGTAGTCCTTAAAACAGCCTTCAGTTACTTTCGGCTTGATTCGTACTCTCTGATGTGCGGTAAATTTCACCGATCCGTGCACAGCTAATCAAAGCGTAACACTACGGCTTGTTATTGTCGGAAACTTGATCAAAAAACGTCACTCTGTCTCTCTACTTTTCCTTTAAAAGCTACAGTAAAGTTTGAGTCGGTTTATGTGGCGTACGTTTTTCTAGCGCGTCTGAGAGCTATTTTATTGATTTTCACCATAATTGGCGAGGTTTATTTCGCCGGCGGTAACTACGTTGTGCCTTACGCGCTTCTTAGCAGGTCCCTTTTAACGACGAACAAACCTGTCATTCAACATTTCACGTCCCCAAAATACGTAAATTCACGACTCACGATGACACCTTTCCCTTCTCCCCTGTCAAGCCAAGTTGTCTTTTATGAGGGATCGGTAGAGTCAGATGGTTCATCCCTTTAGACTCACAGCTTACGACCCATCCCCACCCTATGACAGATTCCCCCTATCGGCCTATGAAGTGGGATCCAGGGCTCAAATCAAGTCCCATCCAACGTATGCTGACACGTGTTTGCTGACCAAATTGTGATTTCAAGCCAAAAAGTAAACTTAGGCAAGTACTCAACCGTTCCGGGCAGGCTGCGTGGAATTCATGTTTTTCGTTTGTTTGTTTGTTTGTTTGTTTGTTTGTTTGTTTGTTTGTTTGTTTGGTTGATGGTTGGTTGGTTGGATACTTTTCCTTTACGTGACTTATAATGAAATATCGCATTTTCTACATTTTGCTTGTAGATTAAGACATCCTGGGGTGAAAAGTACCAGAAATGGATGGCACAAACTGAACAGAAAATTGAAGAACTGCAAAGAGCTAATGACTTGCTGTAAGCTTAGGTTTCTTGTTTTTTCTGGCAACTTTAATTGTTTTCAATGGTAAAGTTGAGAGGAAAACAAGGAATGAATTGTGTAAAGCAGTGTTAGGCAGTGGTAAACTTAGTACACTTTGTTTCCAGCAAGATAGGAACGTTACAAGAGAGTAATTAGTTTTATATATAACTAATACAACGGATTTCAAAGTGCAATTACTTTTATGATTTGTTTTAGCGCCCTTCCTCCTCTTTCTAATATGCGTTCCCCATTGAGTACCGCACTATAGAGTAAAACCTTTATCATTACGCTTAGCCCGTAAGGTACATGTATAGAGTTCGACCTTGCTATTGCATTCGTTCTGTGGTTTCATCTCACTTGGCTCTTGAAAGAGAGACCTCTAAGTTTTGTAACGGTCCGTATACATTTATCTTTGTTAATTCTACAGGAAAGGCATGCTTGTAGATAAAGAAAAGTCTGGAATGAGCTGACGCGGAGTTGTTATTCATGAGGTATAATCCCGTTGCTTAGCAAGGCAGTTCCAGGTGTGAGAAGGTATATGGTACCAGACTCTGAACAGCTTCGGAGATTTCCACGAGAGCTAAAGAGAGGAAAAAGAGCTAAAGAGAGGAAAAAGGAAGATCAACAACATCAACAGCAGCAGCAGCAGGAGGAACAACAACAGCAACAACAACAAACAACGACCACAACAACAATAGAAGCAGCAAAAACAACAGCAACTTTAACGGAGCTAGAAAGTCAGAACCAGCTGGAGACCTAACGTTCGTGTTAGCTAGGAGCTTGAGGAAACTCGCGCAGTGTGAATGAAAAGGACGGGTTTCTCGGGGACTAGCCTACCATATAGGAAGCCTACACCTCCGGTACGCCGGCTGCACCGTTTGTTGAATATCAAAGAACAATAGTTTTCTACACGTTGCGTTTGATTTCCCACACAGCTTTTATCCTGCATTCAAGGTCATTTTTTTTTCTCTCTGACAAAGGCCCCTCTCGGTGGAGTTCAGGTTTTGGGAACTTTTTACTGACAGTGACTTCTAGTGTGCTACCGAATCTGGTGAAGTAGATACCGTGTAATATTCATGCTTGTTGAGTCGTCATTAGGTGTTATGTGGCCCTCAACGGACTTTGCACTTACTAGTAAATACGATGAATGTGCAAGGCTGGTTTTTCGAAGGATTATTCTCTCAGTAGTCTAAAAGAACGGAAGAGATTACGATTGTACAAACGATTCACGTTTTAACTCTTACAATCTTAGCTATCTTCCAAAGACTGAGACATTATTAAATAACCTGCGTTTAAATCTGATTGGTAGCACAATCTAGACTATAGATGTGATCTCACATTTTAAGCTGTAATTCTGCTGAGATTTCTCAGGTCTTCTTTTGGAACATTTATTTTCCTACGATCGTGAGTACAGTAAAATCCTAAGCCTACAATATTTTTTTATGCATCTTAACTTGGTTGTAATTTCTCAATCACACTTTTCTTTGACTAATTCAGCGTGATATACGCCGGCAGTTCCATGCAGTATACGTTAGCCATAATTTTGAATTTGTCTACCACTTATTGTCGAATCTCAGCCTGACTACAACAAAAGTTATCCCACTTGAGTTACATTTCTAGTTCTAGTAGTACATGACAGCGGCATATAATAACCTTTTTTACTTATATTTCCAGCAATGTGATCATGCTCTTCCCTGCGCCCCCCCCCCCCCCCCCCCCCCCCCCCCCCCCCCCCCCCCCCCCCCCCCCCCCCCCCCCCCCCCCCCC